CACCTGGGAAGGCAGGAGGAGCACCGGGCCCAGGTGACCTCAAGGTCTGGGGAGCCTGAGCCAGTCCTGTCCTTCTGGGATGGGAGTGGCCTGCATCCCCCTTTTATCTTTACCCGGTGTCCACCTGGAGTCAGGTGTAAGGTCTGGGTAAATGGGGTATTTCCGCTGGGACAAGCCCGGGGAGGTTGGCCCCTCGGTGTCCCACAGGACGTACAACTGAAGGAGAAAGATCGATAAACCCTAGAGGAAAGAGCAGGGTGGTGGGCTGAATAGCGTCCACTTCCTGACCCTGGGCACCTGTGAACATGACCTGATTTGGAAACAGGGTCTTTGCAGATGTAAGTGAGTTGAGGATCTTGAGATGAGGTTGTCTTGGATTTAGGGTGGACCCTACATCCAGTGATGGGCATCCTTAAAAGACAAAGAAGAGGGGATTCGAGACGAGGAGACGCAGGAGAGGAGCCTGGCAGGCTGGGACAGTGCGGCCATGAGCCCTGGGCCCCTAGGGGGCCTGCAGGGGCAGCCACCCCGCCCCACCGGGATCTCCCCGGACGTGGAGGGACATCTGGGGGTTGAGCCCCACGCTGACCTGCAGCCCAGGAAGCTGGCACAGGTGTGGAGAAGCAGGGGCAAAGACGTCAGTAACTCTAATTGTTGTGGTCAAATAAAGTATCCATTGCAAGCAGGTGCACTCCCGGCGGAATGGAATTTCCGGTCGAAAAGGACCCTGGAACTTGGCGGGAGGCAGGAAGCAGTGGGCAAGGTAAGGTCCCCCGCGTCTCTTGCTGGGAGGGGGCTACGGGCTAACAGAGGACGACTGTGCATGTGCGTCTTCCTCGTGGGCAGGTTCCCCTGGGTGCCTGTGATGGGGTGGCCACCACCTCTCGAACCTCTCCGTCCCGGACCCAACACCAGAGCACCGAAGGGCAGAGGGTGCGGGCTGGGCGGTGGCAGCAGCAAATGAGAGTTCAAACAACTCTAGTAGGACAGAAGCAGGTGGTGGAGGGACCGGCAGGCAGAGGGCCCCTCCGAACCACGGAAGCCGGTGACAAGCAAAGCATTTACGTGAGGAAAATTATTTTATTTTATTTTATTTGAGAGAGAGAGACCTGTGTGCACAGGAGCTGGGGGAGGGGCAGAGGGAGAAGCAGGCTCCCCGCCGAGCAGGGAGCCCGATGCGGGGCTCTATCCCAGGACCCTGGGATCATGACCTGAGCCGAAGGCAGTCGCTTCATCGACGGAGCCCCCCAGGTGCCCCTCCACAAGGAACTTTATAACTTTTTAAGGGGAATTGTTGGTCGTAAGCCTGGTGCTCAGTGAACTCAGCCTCACAGGCCACAGTGCTTGGTTCTGTGCGTATGGATGTGAGGAACAGGCACAGCCGTGGACACAGAAAATGGATCTGAGGTTGTCAGGGGCCGGGAGGGGAAACGGGAGAGCCTGCTCTGCGCACGGGCTTCTGCAGGGACAGGAAGAGACGCGACCACCCGCTGCCCCAGGAGCTGGATCTGGGCCACGGGAGGCTCCTCACGCCCTCCCCTGTCCTTGGAATGTGGGTTCCACTGGCCTTTTCACTCCCAGAGACTGCTCCCGGGACACAGCCCTGAGGTAGTGACGTGGCGCTGAGAACACCTGCATGGGGACGGAGCCCAGGGAGGGCCTCTCCCGACACCACCTTTTAGGCTCTGGCGGGCAGGTGCAGGGTTGTAAGTTCCATTTGCTTAGGAACCTTGCCGCCTACCCACCTGGAGGGGGCCCACCTCTTGCTTCAGTCTCCGCCTGCCCTCTGCATGTGCGGCCAGTTTCAGATGACACCTGCAAGGCTCCCAAGGGGCCTGTCCCACACACGGAGGAGGGCCTCGGGGGTCCTCTGAGCTTGGCGGGCCCTTTGCTGTGGGCCCTGGTAAGATTCCTCGTTATCGAATCTACAAAGCCCCCCCACCCCCACCCCGGCCCAGTTGTGCTAAGAGTTTTATCACAAACGGTGGTTGAATTTATCAACCAAAAGAATCAAATGCATTTCCCTTATCTGTTGAAATGACTACCAGGTTGTTCATCTATCTCTCCTCTGTTCATGTGGCCAGTTGTACCAGAAGAGTTTTCTGGTGTTAAACCATCCTGATTTAGACCCTCTTTGGTTTTACTGTAACATTTTAAAGACATTATTGGCATCGGATTGCTCGTGTTTTATGTTGGATCTTGAATCCATGTTTATCATCGAACGTGGACTGAAAATGTCCTTTATTCCGTGTGCCCAGGGCTGTTCTCCGGGTTACACGAATCCCACAGAACTCTCCAGGGATCCCTCCTGTTCCTTCCATTGCCTGGGAGGGTTCGAGTGAAGTGGGGATTGTCTGGTCCTGGAAGGCTGAGTGTTACTGTCCCGGGAAACCATGCGGGACTGCTGTGTTAACTTGTAATTCACGTCTGGGGCCATTGTCAGTGGCCCACACGCAGTTCTTCAGTGCGCACGTCTGTCCAGGTGTTCTTCCTCCTGAGTCGTCCTCGGATGTGCCTGCCTCCACATTGTCCATGGTCTCTGATAGCAAATTCAGGGAATCACAGCTGGTCCAGCCTGTGTTCACCCCTTCATGTTCCTGATGTTTGTGCACCTGCTTTCCTGCCCATTCTACCTCCCCGGAGCTCTGCCTCCCACTTAGGGCCAAGGAACTGACATTTCGCTTTGCAGCCCAGTCCAGCTCCCTTCCCCAAGCCTGCCCTGGAACCAGGGGAAGCAACCAGAAGTTTCTCCTGGGGAAACTGAATAACCTCAGGGGAAAACCAACCAACAAACAAAACAAGACATTGCAGGGTATCCTACAGGGCAGGGGCTTTCGCAGGATGACCATCGGGCAGGCACTGGTGTGAGCGCAGGCACCCACCAGGCAAGTGTGCGGACCTAGTAGAGCCCCACCAGGGCAGGGCGGCCAGGGCAGGCAACCAGGACAGAGGGCCCGGGTCTCCAGGGGGAGGGAGAGTGGAGAGCGTGCAGAGCAGGCAGGAAGGAGACGCGATCAGAGCACCCAAACGCAGCTGAGCTGCGGGAAGCGATGGTCACAGTGGAGCCCAGGACAGGCCTGGGTCACTTAATTCACTCTTTGTTAAGTTGTGTGTACACAGCCCCATATGGCAGGTGGCTCCCAGGGCCCCACATCAGCAGACAGTGGTCCAGGCTGCGGGGGGAAGGAGTGCTCAGGTCTTCAGCACAGCCACTGAATCTACCTTGGGGGTGCCACTTATATGCCACATCCTATATTCATTATTTGCCTAAAAGGTGGTTTCCTGCTAGACTGGAAGACTGAGGAAGGCAGAGGTCATTTTCTATTCATATCTGTATCTTCCATAAACAGCCCAGGGTCTGCCACATAGCATTTCAGGATGGATGAATGTGAATGGGTGAATGGATGGGTGGATGAGTAAGGGTGGATGGATGGATGTGTGGATGGGTGGGTGGATGTGTGGATGAGTGGATGGATGCGCAGATGGATGAGTAGATGAATGGATGGATGAGTGAGTGGATGAATGGATGGGTGGATGAGTGGATGGATGGATATGTGGATGGATGGGTGGATGCGTGGGTGGATGTGTGGATGGATGGTTGCAATTTTGAGATGAGGCCTTCTAATGGAGGGTAGGCTGCAAGCAGGGGCCAAAGAGTGGAATAGTCACTGAGAATATCCCCCCTCCCTCTTGCCACCACTTCCATCTTTCTTTTGCCACCACCACCCCCAGTCAGTGCCTGGCCTAGAGCAACAATTCCTCCAACCCAAATCTCACAGCAGATGGACCCCCATCAGGAAGCCCCAGGGTCACTGGACCACTCCCAGCCACACCCACACCTAAGAAATCACTGGGCACTTTCTGTCTTGCTTTGCTAACAGTTTAATGAAACAGAACTGAGACGTGGTCCCAGACCCCGCTGTTCCTAACCACACCCTCATTCAAAGCAGCTTCCATTTCTCTTCTTCCCAGTGTAAGGGAGGCAGGAGCAGTGTCCACCAGGGTGGATGGGACTGAGGACCCTGTGCGGTGGAGGAGCAGGGAAGAGTTGGGTGTTGGAAAGAGTTGAGAGCAGAGAGACTGGAGCAGGAAAGGAGCCGCATTCTAGGGAGCTGGGCGGGCTCTTCCCCACCTCCATCTCTGGATTATATTGGCTACAGTCAACTTTCTGAACTGTGAACAGAATTGCCCAGTGGAACTTTCCAGGACGATGGACTGTGTCTCTGTACCTACTGTCGAGTGCCTGTCGCTTGTGAGCCTGAGGACATGAGTTTTCACTTAATTCACTCTTAATTAAGTTGTATGTACACGGCCCCATGTGGCGGGTGGCTCCCAGGGCCCCACAGCAGCAGACAGTGGTCCAGGCTGGGGGGGCAGGAGTGAATCACCACTTTCCTAGAGAAGGACACATCCTGGCGCTGGGCACAGGACCACCTCTCACCTTTTCTTGGTGTCTGGCCCCGGGGAAACTGAGTTTGATGGTGCAGATAGGAGACCTGAGGTAATGAAGCCACGGACTGTCAAAACCAGGGGAAGGAGTGCTGGGAGGGGACATCTGTCTCACCCTTGGAGTTTGGGGGAGAAGGCTGAGCCTCTGGAGGAGCCTAGAAAGTGACCTCCTGGAAACAGTCCCACCTGGGGCAGGGCAGTAACCACAGGGTCTCCCCGGCTCAGCCACCCAGCTCTGCCAACAGATGCAGCCCCTGAAGCTTTCAGAGCCTTGGAACCCCAACCAGAAAGCTCTCCCCACCACGGTCAAGGACACACAGAAATCCCAGAGGCTGCTTTGCACACAGTTTAATAGGACAGCAGTAGCGGGTAGGAGGCAAGGTCTCTGGCATTTCTTACCCAACCTGCCCGCTGTCAGGGAGACACCAGCCTCTGAGCCCCTCCTTGGCCTCCTGGGCCCCAAAGTCAGAGAAGGACAGGGCACTGAAGAGATGATGCTGTGAACAGGGGGAAGCAGTGGGGGTGCCTGCTTCCTTGCCCACACAGGCCCATCAAGGCTCCAAGGGGATGTGCTGGTGGATCCAGGACGAGTAGGTTGTCACCCGGGTGTAGACCCCAGGATAGTCGATGTGCCCAGAGGCCACACCCCAGCTCAGCACTCCAACTTGGATCCACATGTCCAGCCAGTAACAGACCAGGGGACCCCCGGTGTCACCCTATAAAGGGTGATCGCTGGTCAGTTGGCCGCAGGGTGCCGCGGTGGTCCCACTGCCATGCCCAGAAGCCCTGAACTGCAGCAGAGGGCGGGGCCTGGGTCTCACCTGGCGGGAGCCCCTTCCCTTCCTCCCTGCACACAGCATGTCCTCCTTGATGGTGCTGCCTGTGCCTCCAGCAGGTGGGTCCTTGTGGTAGGTCTTCTCGCAGACCCGGTTGTGCACGATGGGGACCTTGGGCTCCTGCAGGCGGTGGGCCGGGGACGGTGGCGCTGCAGGAGGGGAGGATGAGTGTGGGCTGCTCTGGGGACTCGTGCCCCTCCAGCCAGACCCAGGTCATGCCAGCCTGGGCCACACCTCTCAGACTCACACATCATACCATAGCTTTGATGGAAAAAGGGAGTCATGGCCAATTCAGTGTCATGTGTCTGAAAGCTAGACCATGACAGTAAGGGCCAGGCTTGAATAAACAGGAGAAAAAGCCATCTGGAAAACATAGCCACAGCAAAGAGCCTGCTATGTCAGACTGACCATCGTGGAGTCAGTTTTCCGAGGGTATTGCTACTTGAGTAATAGGAAGCAGCGCTGCAACATTCTGGCAGTCAGGGGAGTGGGGCTACGCCAGGGGAAGGGCCCCTCAAAGCCAGACCCCATGAAAGAGCTGGGACTGGCTTTGGGGGACCTTTGGGGTCTGCAGCCATGCAGCTCCCTGGCATCTGATAATCACCACACGGGGCCATGTGGGAGGAGGGGTCGCACCCTCCCACACATCCTGCAGGTCCTGGTTTGTGGGGGTTGCCCCACAGCCAGCAACACCAGCTCTGGAGCCAGGAGACGGGGTGGGGAGGGATCCTCTACCAGGACTACAGCCGGGTGACAACCTACTCGTCCTGGATCCACCAGCACATCCCCTTGGAGCCTTGATGGGCCTGTGTGGGCCTGAGCCCGTGCCTCAGTTTCCCCATCTTAACCGCCATGGGCACACAGCCTGGGTAAATAGGGACAGGCAAGGGAAGCCAGGGGATCTGTTCTTCCCCAGCAGTTTTTACTGGGAAAACACAGGAATAAAGCCCCTCCCCCAAGACTGAGTCCTGAGCAACTGACTTCCCCAACTGCAAACAGAATGCCCACTTGCTCTTGGGATGTTGTCCAAGTTTAAACAAGAGCGTTTTCAGATGCATCCCAGAGCCCAGTTGGGGGCAGGCGGCCCGGAGTCCTGTGGTACATCTGTGACCCGGTCATGTCCCCCCACCCTCCCACAACCGAGGCCGTCGGCCATGTGGTCCCCACGCGCCCCACCCACGAGCTCTTCCTTGTCCACCCTTCAGGTTCCCCAATCTTATCATGGACCCCAAAGATGCCCCAGCCGGTCACCCAGCACTTCATTCCGGGGCTGAGCACCAGTGAATTGGGAGAAAGGGTGACAGGGCTCACGAGCCCGGAGAGCGGCACGGGGTTCTCCAGTCTCAGGGCGATGTCTGCTACCCCCATGGCGGACAGGCTCAGGTTAAACTTGGGGTGGCGGATGATCTCGGCCACCCTTTGCAGCTGGTCGTGGTCATAGAGTCTCAGCTGCCTGACCTGGACCCTGTATTTCTGTGGCTCCAGCACATCCCTGGGAGAGACAGGCCCAGGAGCTTCTTGAGGAGGCTGAGTGGGGGCAGGGACCTGGTCCCCCCAAACCCCAGCAGCAAGACTGTCTCTTGGGGCTCAGAGCCTGAAGGCTCCCCCTGACAGCTTCAGAGCTGCGTGAACCCTGGTTCTCTGCACCTGGCCCAGGACGCTGTCTTCTCACGTTGCGTTGCCCCCCGGCTTGCTCCCTCCCACCCGCCCCCCCCAAGGGGGCAGCCATGTGAATCTAACGGTCCAGCACAGTAGGCAGTGGGCAGCACCCACTGGGGGTGAATGAGGGAGCCCCCACATTCATGCTGCCACTGGGCATGCTCTTTGTTGAAGACCCGCAGGCTGACCTGCCACGGCCACTTCCCAGCAGGGACATCGTGCTCCCCCACAATGCCCACAGCTCAGTCCCTAGGCAAGGATCTGGGAAAGCACAGTGAGGAGCCCTCAGGGACCCAGATGCCCCTGCCTGGAGCTCAGCACAGCCTCCCACCTTGTCTCTCCCACGGGCCATCCTCATGTGGAGGCCAGCACCCTGTCCCACCCCAGGTCAGTGCAGGCTCACGATCACCAGTGGGTTTCAGGACAGCAGGGTTATTGCTCGGGGCTAGGACTCACCTGGGGTCATGGGCAGAGCCCCCCCAGGCAGGGGAGGGTCAGGAACATCAGCCACAGCATCTGCGTGGGGAGAGGGGAGGTCTGGAGTCAGGAGACCAGGGCCAGGATCCCCGGGTCTGGGAGCAGAGAGGGCAGGGGTCTGAGCGGGGTCCTTACCACTCCAGGTCCTCTGCTGTCTGCTCCTGGGGCCTCTGAGCCCCTTTGTCCTCCCCGCCCAGGAAGTAGGTGGGGTGAGAGCTGGGGGTCTCCGGGGCAGGGTTTCCCTGCATGAGTGGTCAGTGCATCAGCATTTGCAGAGAACACGTTGTGGCTGACCAGGGATGGGTGCTGGGAACACAGTGGACAAAGTAGACAAATGCCCGTCCTGGGGTGAATCACGCACCTCCAGGGCGGTGAGGGCAGTGAAGACAGGAGGTGCCCACAATCAGGAAAGGCCTGTCCTAGGAGACTCGTCAGAGTGCAGACCCGAAGGATAAGGGCTGAGCCGGGTTCCCCAGCCCCAGGTCCTGGGTCCACACCTCCCCTCTGGACCCACCTGGGAAGGAGGGCAGCCCCCGTGGGACCACCAACTCCCCCAGGCAGACCCACAAGAGTTCTGGGAACCTGGCCTGTGCCGGCGAGGACTGGGGTGCAGGGACCTCAGTGGGGACCCAGTGTGGCCCCCACAGAGCCCTCCTCCCTCCTCCTGGGACTGGACACCGCCTCGGCCAGTGTGGGGAGAAGGCTTCCCAGTCTGAGTGCTGGGATCTGGCTGAGGTTTTTGAGGTGAGGATGCTGTGTCTGTGGAAGGGTGGTCACAACCCCAGGTGGGTCCCTGCTCGGTACTGAAGCCTGCAGTGAGGGACGAGAGGGCAGGAGGGTGCTCTCGGGTGCCAGGAGCTGTCCCCCCATGCTGTCCCTGCAGTACCCACAAGGCTGCCACTGACCCCTACCAATACCCACAGCCGACCCCCCACCTCCTCTGCCCTCAGCAGCCGGGCTCCCAGCACCCTGCTCCCTGCCCCCGCCTCAGCTCAGCCGGCTCATGTGGCCACGCCCACACCGGGGAGATGGGAAAGCGGCCCTGCGTGGATCCCTAAGCGGTTTCCCAACCTCGAGGGGGAGCTGGACAATGGGCCCCCGCCTGGTGGCTAAGCCCAGGACGGTCCTGCTGCAGACCTGGGGGCTGTCTCTTTTCAGACCCCCACATCCCCAGTGCAGGGAGGGGTGCCCAGGAGGCCCCAACACGTTTGTGGACACAGAGGTCTCGGCGGCTTCTCTAGGTCCTTGTGTCCCGTTTATTGGCTACGAATGAATCAGGAACATGAAAGCTGTGGGCTCTTTTAAAATTCTTTCCATTTAATGTTTGTTGCTTTTTTTTTTAAGGTGGCGGGGAGTTGGGGGGTTGGCGGGAAGGAGCCAAACTGAGATTACTAGGAGCTGAGCAGTCCAGGGCAGGGCAGGGAGCAGCCTGTTGGCCCTGATAAGGGACTTCGCGCTGGAGGTCTGGTCATTCTAGACTAGGACGGAGAGCTGTGTGGGGTGAAGCACTGGCTGTCACATCACTGCAGCAGCCAGAAAATGCAGAGGTGCCTGAGAGGACCACTGTTTTCCCAGTGAAGTTGTCCTTGAGGGGGGATGCCACCCCCACAGGAGGACCTTAGGGGGCCAAGGCTTACAGGACATGTTTTCAGAATGAACCAGGGACATTTTGACTTGTCACATGGGACTTTTAACATCCAGAAAAGGAGCTGGTGAAAGGGAGGAAATGGTATGTGGCACCAGCCGGCCACACTGTCCAGGAGCAGAGGGGACTCTGCAGAACAGTGGGAAGAGGACCTCATGGGCATCCCCCCCGGATCCCATGCCTCAGCCGTGGCTTAAGTGGGGCCGGAGAGAAGCAGACAGGAAGGAGGAGAGGAGGGAGGGGAGTCTGGGGCTGAGAACAGCACCCCATCCCAGCTGACGTTCTTTCGGGGAGAGAAGCACAGAAACCTGCCCCCGGAACCCTTCCCTCTCCTCTCTGCCTGGCCTGGAGATGCCAGCACCAGGGAACCCAACAGGCGGGCCTGGCCGGCCGACTCCCTGAGCCCCAGATGCACGACAGTCAAGCATGGATGCGCAGGCTTGGAAGGTTTTCCCACCACGTTTAATAAGAATCCAATTCCAGCAGGATTCCTGGGCTTTCCCCACTCTGTACTTCCCCCTGGGGGCCTCGCCCCTGCTTCCCTGCCCCCCGTAGGGAAAACAGGGTGCTGAGACAAGAGAGTGGGGCACCCGTCCCTTCTAGGGTCTGAGGAACAGAGGGACATGCTGGCAGATCCAGGACACGTAGCTCGTGACGCGGGTGTACACCCCAGGGAAGTTGCGGTGACCACAACCTTGGCCCCAGCTCACGATCCCCACCTGGATCCAGGTGCAATTCCAGCGGCACACCAGGGGGCCCCCAGAGTCCATCTGTGGTGAGAGAAGGCCCTCAGTGAGAGCTTCCCTTGTCCCCATGGCTAAGGGAGAGGCAGGTCCCATCCTCCTGGGCTAGAAGGGGACAGAGGAAGTGGCCAGGGCCTCGTAGGGCCTCACCTGGCAGGAGTCCCGGCCGTCGCTCCCAGCACACAGCATGTCGCCCTTGATGACCTGATCGGTGCTGTCCAAGGAGTTCTGATAGCGGTGATTACACTCCCTGTTCCCCACGATAGGAACCTCCACCTCCTGCAGGTGGTAGGGCGGGGGCAGTGGCACTGTGGGCAGCAGGAGGAGCTGCCTGAGAACCGGGGCTCCTCTTCCCACCACACAGATACTCCTTCCAATTTGTGCTGGGCCTTCCCCTGCCCATCAGGGCACCCCCCACTGCCGGGCTGGGGTCCAGCACCAGACCTGGTACTGTTTCCCCATGGCCACCATGCTCAGGATCGGCCACACGGCACCGAAAGGTCCAGGTGCCCATCCGGCTCCAGGACATGCGACCCCCTCACCAGAGTCTGGGCTCCAGTGCCCGTGTCCACAGCAGAACCCACAGGCCCCCCGGGAAAATTCTGCCTCAGCAGCAGAGGAGCTGGGACCTTGGTGGGTCACCCAAACTAAGGAGCCTGGATTTCTTCCCCCATGACACGAGAGCCCCCGTCTGCCCTCCCACCTTGGTGGCCAGAGTCCACGTGGGATCTGGCGGGGAAACTTGCCTGCCCAGAGCAAGTTCTCAGTTCCTGAGATGTGTCCCAGAAACTTCCCGTCCAAAACCCTGGCATCACACCCCACCCACCCCGGGATCACAGAAGGTGCATGCGGTGAGCCACTTTCCATAAAGGCCCAGCCCCCCAGCCCCTCATCCTTCCTAGTCTCCCTAATACCTACAGTTGTCCGCGATGTCACCCCAGCCGGTTACCCAGCACATCTTCCTCCAGGGGACCCTCAGGGAGGCTGCTGGGAGGGAGACCAGGTTCACATCCTCAGAGAGCGTCAAGGGGTCCTCCAGTCTCAGCAGTGCGATGTCCGCGCCTCCCTCGGCAGACAGGCTCATGTTGAACTTGGGGTGGCGGATGATCTCGGCCACCCTTTGCAGCTGGTCGTGGTCATAGAGTCTCAGCTGCCCGACCTGGATCCTGAAGGCACAAGCCTCCAGGTCGTCCCTGGGGGAGAGGGGAGCCGGGGCTTCTCAGGGCAGGCTGGGGGGGCACTCAGAGCTGGGGAGGGCCCCGGAAGCCCGCCTCCCGCAGAAGGGCCCCGTGCACGCACACACACACCCAGCCATGGGGATGGGGACGGCACGACTCACGGCTCAACGCAGTGGGCAGCGGTCAGCACCCACTGGGGGTGGATGAGGGAGCCCCCACAGATGTGCTGCCACAGGCCATGATCCATACTGTAGAACCTCAGGCTGACCTGCCACGGATACCTCCTGGCTGAGACAGCACAGCCCCCCACGATGCCCACCAGCTCACGCCCTGGGCCGGAGTCTGCAGAAACAAATTGAGGGGCCATCAGGGGCCCAGACAATGACCTTCCCAGAGCTTGGGAAGGGACAAGGGAAGCTTTTCCCTAAAGGACAGTCCCCATTCCCCCTGGCTGAGTCCCAGGAGCCCTGAGCATGTTGGAGGGGATCAGGACTCACTGGGGGTCACGGGCACAGAGCCCCCCAGCCAGGGGAGGGTCAGAAACAGCAGCCACAGCATCTGCAAGGGCCTGGGGGCAGAGAGCTCAGACCCCAGCACCAGCTTTCTCCACGGCAGTTCCTTCCCGGGCCGCCCCTCCAGGGCCCCCATTTATCCTAATAACACAGGAAGTGGCCAGGGCGGGCCAGCCTTCTCGGGGGGGACACACTGCGGCCCAACAGTCCTTCTCCTTCCATGGGGCCGGTGGTCACAGCCTTGCTGTCCTCTGCCAGGCAGGCCGGGCTGGACCCTGGGCAGGCAAAGGAGGAGATCTCCCGGGGCCACACTTTGGGAGTGGGTCCCATCACGAAGGGCACGGTCGTGAACTTGATGTCTGCAGAGAGTGAGGAATTTGGTGAAAAGGGGCCTGACCTGGCTGCTGTCTCAGGGAAGGGACTTTAGGCTGAGGCAGAGATTAAGTTGAAGCCATTCTGCCTTCGGGCTTGGGGCTATTCTGCTGGCCCACGGTCCTGCTCTCTGGGCCCCAGTCACTCGTGGCGGTGGGGGTGTTCTGAGCAGACTGGCACACTCCACGCCCTGCTTCCCACCGGACATCTTGGGACTGGGATGGACAGAATTCCTGGAACCCCTTCAATGGGAATTGTTCCGCTCTGTCTGGGATTCATGGACGGTGCCCCAGCCGGCCCTGAACTTCCTACCGAGTTGTACTTTTATCTTTCTTTTTTTTTTTTTAAGATTATTTATTTATTTATTTATTTGAGAGAGAGAATGAGAGAGAGAGAGCACATGAGAGAGGGGAGGGTCAGAGGGAGAAGCAGACTTCCTGCAGAGCAGGGAGCCCGATGCGGGACTCGATTCTAGGACTCCAGGATCATGACCTGAGCCGAAGGCAGTCGCTTAACCAACTGAGCCACCCAGGCGCCCC